TTTGAAAACCAAGCCACTTTGATATATTATACTGGTTATTATGTGTATTATAGCACTGCTTTGGGGCTCCAATCATGATTGAGGTTCCATAGTGCTAGATATTTGCTAAACACACAATAAGAGAGAGTCCCTGTCCTGAGAATCTTACAATCTAGTTAGACAAGACAAAGGATGGAGGAAAACTATACAATGAAAACCACTTTAAAAACCAAGCCACTTTGATATATTATACTGGTTATTATGTGTATTATAGCACTGCTTTGGGGCTCCAATCATGATTGAGGTTCCATAGTGCTAGATATTTGCTAAACACACAATAAGAGAGAGTCCCTGTCCTGAGAATCTTACAATCTAGTTAGACAAGACAAAGGATGGAGGAAAACTATACAATGAAAACCACTTTAACCACAGTATGTAATTGAAACCACTGAAGCCAGGGGGTGCAACAGCACCCACTGTACTCACTCCTAGTTCCAGCATCTATTCCTAAATGGTAGGAGCTTTGTTGGCAGGACCTCTCCCACTAAAATAGTGCTGGGTACGCTGTCATTTATGCCACCAAAACGTATGTTTTTTCACACTGCTGAGAGACAAAGGTTTTTCTGGCAAAAATGGTAGCACAGACTTGGCCTTAGACTTGGTACTCTATGACATTTTGAGTAAAAAAAATAGTATTTAAAAAACTGCATGACACATTAAAGGGATTTAAAATTGTCTGATAGGTCTAAAAACATATTTATGAATGGGAAATCCTCCTAAGTGGGATAGGGATCACTTTTTCACACCACACTATTTAAATATTTTTATCAATATCATAGAAGAAAATACAAAACCATCACCAATAAAGTTTGCAGATAACACAAAGATTATGGGAAGAGGACAGGCTACAGATACAGAGAAAATCTGGATCTAGTAAGCTAGGTTCAAGCAAACAATCTGTGTTTTACTAAGGCAAAATGAAATATAAATGTATGTATCTAGGAGCAAATAATGGAGGCCTTACTTATAGGATGGGTGACTCTATCCTGGGAAGTAGTGTCTCTGACAAAGATTTGGAAGTAGTAATTGATAAAACAGTTGAACATGATCTCCAGCGCAACACTGGCCCAAAGGGCCAATGCCATCCTTGGATGCAAAAACAGAGGACTCTTGTGCAGGAATAGTGAGGTTATTTACCTATATATTTGGCACTGGCATGACAGTAGCTGGACTACTGTGTCCAATTTTCTGACTATAGAAAGATTCAAGAAGAGCACTGATAAACTGCACAGTTCAAAGCAGAGTGACAATAATGATTAAAGGACTGGAAAAATGCCTCTAGTGATAAGCTAAATAGATGGAGCTCCTTGAGCAGGCTAAGGGATAACAATCACAGTCAACAAGTACCAACATGGTAAACAATTTTTTTTTATTACAGGCTCTTCAATCTAGCAAGCAAAGATAGAACACAGTCTAATAGCTAGAAACTGAAGCCAGACAAATTCACAAAGGAAATAAGGTCCCCCCTTTTTTTTTAAACCAGGGAGGGAATTCAGCCGTTGGAAAAATTTAGCAAAGGACATGGTGGATTCTCCATCACTGGAAATCCTTAAATCAACATTGGATGTTCTTCTAAAAGATATGCCCTAGTAATTATTTTGGAAGTCCTATGTCCTTCTTTTATAGATGGTCAGATTAGAGATCACAATGGTCCTTCCTGGCCTTGAAGTCTATGAATCCATGAATTATTTTCCTGTTAATCAGGTTCAATAGAGAATTCATTATACACACCTGAACAGACAATTCCTACATCTTCATAGTGATGACAGTTATGTCGATCCCATCCCCTGGAAGGGCATTCCCATAGCTTGGATTCATTTCCAGAACAGTTGAGATCATCCAGCCAGATCTTTCCTGGTCCTTCCCCATAATGTCCAGAGAGATTTGAAAGAACAGTGTATCCACATCCAAGCTGTTTGCAAACAACATTGGAGTCTGATAGGTCCCAGAAATCATCACAGACTGTCCCCCAGATACCGTCATTATAGATTTCCACTCTACCAGAGCACCGATCAGTTCCATTCACCAGTCTGAGCTGTTTGCTTCCTGTGGGTAGAACCTCTGTAGTTAATATGTCTGTTCCTATTGAACAAGACGACAGTGCTTTAAGTAATCAGAAATAAAACAACCGATCAAACTGACATTCTTGATGATGCTGTCAGTGGTGATTTTCAAGTGTATTAAAGGGAACAATGTCCTACACACTATATATTTCCAAATGTCAAAAGCCTTGTTGTTCCTCATTTAGCTTTTAGGGCTTATAAGTAAGGTATATTTTATGCCCATAGGTTGTGTGACAGAAATTTATGACATTTAAATATTTGTTCTTTTCTGTATTGTCATACTCTTTGTGATTCAGAAAAACTTCCATTCAGCAAGAGTGTCACCTACCAGCCCTCTGCTTTTGGGAGCCAGGGAGTGACATTCATGGAAAACCATCCTTCCCTCCCGCCCCTTCCCCTAAGCCTTTGCTGGAATCAGACAAAGCAATGAAAAGGCCAGGGAAGACACACCTAAACTAATTAAGGAAACACCCCAGCCTCATCTGCATTGAAGATAGAACTCATTAGCCAACAGAATGGAGACCAGCTCTTCCAAGGCAGGAACTGCAGTGAACTATGGGATACCGAAAGCAGAGAAGCACTGCCTGATGGGAAATCTCTACTCCAGATGCTAATGAACCCAGGCCTGCCCACACCCAAATTAGTCATTATCAGACCAATTCTAGTAACGATCCTATTGATATCTAAAATACTGAAACTGCCTAGTTGCATTGTGACCTCGTTCAAGGAACATCACCCATAACCAAGGGTTATCAGTCTCTATTGTCTCTCCTCTTTCTCTTTGAACTATCCCTATAAAAACTCCTATCCTTGCCCCAGGAAAAACTGTTCTGATACCTGGATTTAAACTGCATCAGTTCCATTGAGACTTCTTCATCTCCTGTCTGATCGTGCTGGGGGCACTGTTCTGCTTGTCTCCTGCCCTCTAGACCCCGGGCTACCATCATCATCTGGGAACCCCAATCAGTGCAAGCTCCATGGAGTAGTGAGCTCTCTCTGGGTATGTCTACACTACAAAGTTAGTTTGAACTAACTTTCATAGGCGCTACACTAGCGCTCCGTTAGTTCGAACTTAATTCGAACTAACGGAGCGCTTAGTTCGAACTAGGTAATCCTCATTCCACGAGGATTAAGCCTAGTTCGAACTAGCTAGTTCGAATTAAGGGGTGTGTAGCCTCTTAATTCGAACTAGTGGGAGGCTAGCCCTCCCCAGGTTTCCCTGGTGGCCACTCTGGCCAACACCAGGGAAACTCTATTGCCCCCCTCCCCCCCCGGACCCCTTAAAGGGGCACGGGCTGGCTACGGTGCCCGTGCCAGGTGCAAGCCTGCTAGCACCCAGCCAGCAGACCCTGCACCTGGCACGGCACAGAGCCACCCACCCGATGTCCC